GCAAGGTCAGAGGAGTAAGACCTCAATCCTTGGTCTGTAAGTCCCTGTCCTACAGCTTGATCATTCACAGTGACACTGATGTCCCATGTGCACCCTCGGACCATGGACATAACAGTAATTGCAGTATTAACTCGTAAGATGTATGGCAGACTTTCACAACGAAACCAAGATCGGTTGGAAACCGAAATTACCCCCAAGATCCTTACAACATGCTTCATGGCAATGTTTTGCACCTCCTGCCAGATAACAGTCAGACTTCTTGATGCTGTTTCTATGAGCAGGCTAACAGGACAAGTCAAAAATCACCAAAACTGTTTCTCAAATTTAAAAAATGGGAGTTTATTCAAATCAATTATTTTTACAAGAATACCTGAGTCTGAGCAGGAATTTTTGGAAACTGAAAGACCAGTTTCCAAAATGTTTAGACTAGTTTCTAATAATGTCTAAAAGCCATCCCAGTGCATGTATTCTTCTTTGCTCTTGACTTCCACCAAGCAAATCATGTTCTATTCTTCACTCACAAAATGCAGCTTTTCATTATTCTCCATTCAACTTTACTCAGAAAATCTGAGTTTTCCCATAGAAAATAAAATAGGGAAATCTTGTCATTTAATCTCTATGTCCCTTGAGCAAACAAGCCTCTCAATGAGTAATATTTAATGGAGATAATTTTTCTTCAGCCTCACCACCATCCTTTCTGCCTATGCTTTCCACTTCACACGATCACACCAGTGTGTTTTTCTCGTCTAGAAAGCTCTTTGTTGCTGTAAACGCAGTTAGTTATTTTCTCTATATTAAAAAATGCAGAGGACATACTTGCTTTACTGCAGCTATCAATAATTACAAAATCAGAAACTAAGCCACCGTGGCAGCCAGCCAGCAGCACTGGTAGGCCCAGCCAGGGACGCTCAGAAGGCAGAACCCAGCCCATACCGCACCCAGCCTGGGTCTGCGCTCAGCTCCGCGCGTCACCGGCGACCTGCGGGGGCTTCCCCTCCCTTCGCTCCCGGATTTCCCTCCAGGGAAGCGCAAGGACGCAGGACCCGCCACGGCTGGCTCACACTCCGCGACCCCGCTCCCCACTTGCGGCGGCCCCGCCGGCCGCAGCCAAACAGGCCACGCCCCCCGGGGCACGC